AAAAATAACATCATAAATAAATAACATGAACAAAAAGAGGCAATAATTAATCATAATTAGGAGGAGAAGAAATAAAATCAAAGCCTTAACATGGCTTTGCCGTAGACATTGTTCACCCACTATAAAAAGCTTATCGAGACAGTTCAAATTCCATTGTGAAAGACTCTATGTCAATACTAGAAGAGGTTGCACATGCTATTAGAGAAACAAACCAAAATGCAAACTCATGTTTACATTTAATCAATTAATTTAATTTAATTTTAAAATAAAATTTCTAAGAAAAAAATTTAAATTAAACATAAAAAGACAAATACAAATGTCTCGAGACAATTTGATTTATTATCAAAATTAATGAAAAATCATATAGAAAAAAAAATTAAAAATGAGTCTAATCTCCATTTAAATAAATATTAAGGGATAAAGTTAAAAAAAAAGAGCTTAAAAAAAGAAGCAAACCCAAACAAATTTTCTAAATCTGGATTAATTTCTCAAACTTGCAACTCATGAAATCTTATACTTGAGCTTAATCAAGAAGTTCAATTTTCAATAAATAAAATATTGAAGTATGAAATAAAAAAAATAAATTTAATAAAATTTTCAAGGGAAAAAAAGTAGGAATTAAAATAATAAAGATCAAATTGGTAGAAAAAAACTTATGAATAATGAAATCATAAAAAAAAACTTGTAAAATCATCTTAGAAAAAAAAATCAATTTTAAAAAGAACTAAATGTGAAAGATAAAAAAAATTAAAGGGTAATGAAATTGAAAAAAGATCCAATTTCATAAATCATCTTAAATAAACAAATAACAATAAAAAACAAGTACCAAATATAAAGAAATAACAAAATGAAAGGTTGCTTTTAAGTTTTGTATGGTCAACGATGAAATGAAAGAGAAAGAAAAATAAATTACATGTGCCAAACTGTATATCTATTTAGAACATGCATTGCACTTAGATAGAAAAGAAATCGAGAAAAATCTAATGTTGCCCTGAAAACTACAATATGACTAACACATAACGTCTTACGCATCATCTAAAAGACATGGGGAAAATCAACATATTGACGTGTCTGCTTCACATGTTAACTTGATTTTTTAAATAAATCTATATTAAATTAATTAGTGAATTACCCTTTTAACAACCTTATTATTGTTTTGTTTTTAAAAGCCCAATATAAATAGATATAAAGGTCCTCAAACCAAATATTTTTAAAAATTAATTTTAAAAATAAATATGTTATTTAATTGTTTTTTATAAATATATTAAATCCTGTATACCCAAGTTTAGAAAATTTTATTTCAAATAGTGATAAAGTAATTTTACTACTATAATGAAGACATGTGTAAAAACAATCTTGTCCCTTCTAATTCAAAAATGACATTTTGACTATTACAAAAATATTATTCTAGCATGCATGATTTAGTAATTTTGAAATATATAACAAAATTATTATTTTATTATTATAATCCATGGTAAATTTACTCTTGATCAATAATTATAGTTTGTTTTTTTCTTAATAATAATACTTTTAAGGGTGTTTGAGATTGATAATATTTATTTTTTAAAGTATTTTTTAAAATATATTTAAATAATATTTTTTATTTTTTAAAAAATATTTTAAATATAAGTATATTAAAATAAAAAATTAATTTCTTATAAAACTGCTGCTACCGGCCTCAGCATCATGGTATCTGTCACGGGGTTAAATTTTTCGTAGAGCCTTAACAGTATCCTTCTTTTGCCAAGGTAAACTACCGCCCCCGCCGAACGTTTTACATGTGTACTCTGTGACATCACAACTGACAGGAGAGATGACATGCACACGTGTGAGTGAGAAAATGTTAAAATCATAGGTACCAGTACCACTCGCAGCTGATTGATATTGTTAAAATATTTTTTTATTTAAAAATATATTAAAAAAATATATTTTTATTACTTTTTAATTTTTTAACTTAGGGCATCAAAACTAACCGTTTTTGCAGGGAGGCGTTTCCGATGGATCAGTTTGTAAGGCTTTGGAGAGCTGATAAGAAAAAAATACTGAACCGTATTTGTAAGGTGTTGTTATACACGCGCTGTGAGGTAATGTGATAGAGCAAGAGTCAAATTAGAGGTCAGAGTGAGTCAGAGCAGCGGAACTGCTTGGCAGGGCAGGAAGGGAGGCCGTGAGGATTTCTGTTACAACAAGAACAAAAACAAACACATTTGCAGAGCTTGCTTTGCTTTCATGCTTTCTTTCCAATCTCCACTGCTTTCTTTCACTGTTTTCTCCTGCACTAGTTTTTCCGTTTTTGGCCTATGGAGATGACCTTGCAACACTTCTACAACATCACTTGTTGTCACCAAGAAAATGATGGCATTCCCAGTCATTATACCACCTCAACTACTACACCTTGCAACTCATCAGCAATGGAAACTCTTAATGACATGGGTTCTCTCTCTGTTGATCCTAACAGTAGAATGCCACTGAATATTTGCTCCTCCGTGTGTTTTGACATGGGCCAAAGGGGTTTTGCCCTAGAAGGAAAATGCTGCAGCAATAGGTTGGAGAATAACCCGTGCAGTGAAGAAGTTGGTGATGATGGGAAAGAACAAAAACACAAGGCTGCACTTATAGAAAACATAGAGGAGAGTTTAGTGAATGGGAAAGAAATAATGGAAGGTAGGGAGCCGAATATTTGTAATAGAGGGCATTGGAGACCAGCAGAAGACTCTAAACTCAAGGAACTTGTTGCTCTTTATGGACCTCAAAACTGGAACCTTATGGCAGAAAAGTTGCGAGGAAGATCAGGTAATAAAAGAAGCTGCAAGTCCAAATTAAGTTTTTTTTTGGCTGGTTTTTAATAGCTCTTATTATTGTGCGCGTTTTGTTTTACTTGTCATCTTCGTTGAGTTTGAAGGTAAGAGCTGTAGATTGAGATGGTTCAATCAGTTGGACCCAAAGATCAAAAGAGCAGCTTTTAATGAAGACGAAGAGGAAAGGCTAATGGCAGCTCATAGAATTTATGGTAACAAATGGGCCTTGATTGCTCGATTTTTCCCAGGGAGGACTGATAATGCTGTTAAAAATCATTGGCATGTTGTAATGGCTAGGAAATACAGAGAGCAATCCTGCATTTACAGGAGGAGAAAGCGTACTCAAGCTGTTCAAAGAAGGGTAGACAATGCTGGTGATTCTGTGAGCAGAAATACAGTCAGGAATACAGATCCCAACTCTAACATTATCTGCAATAGCAGAATCATCAAACCATCTTGCATCCCCTTTTCACCTCTGATTGGTGGCTCTAATTGTACCTACGCCAAGATGACTGCAGGACTCTTGTTTTCTAGAAGTCACCATGGATCTCTTGCAGAAGAGACACCTAGATTCTTTTCAGGTTTGTCCCTTTTGTCATTCCACTTTCTACATTGTCTCATTAATTCTACGCATTTTGTGCATCTGGGCTTCTGTGCTTCCTCACATTGGCATCTGTACATCAAATTTAGCACATTCTTCCATGTTTACTTACATCAAGCCTTGTCCTCACATTTTAAAGCTCGGCGTGGTTAATTTCGTGTTCATTTAGTCCTCTGATTTGGTTCAAGTTCTTTATCAGATAATAGCATTCGTTTCCTATGTTATTCTCTTAATGTTTAAAGTTATTCATTCTTTTTTGAGATTTTTAGAGCAGCAATCGGTAATTCTAAACACCAATTGGACAGAAATACATTAGCCATAGACCCATGAAGTGTTATTAACTTTCTTTTCCTTTTATAAAATTTTACTCTCATTTAGATGACTTATTGGAGGTAATATGGTGGAATCCCTTGTTTATTATTTCTCATCTTTCATATGGGCCAATTAAAAATTAGCAGGTCACCAGATGCACTACAATATGCTACGGGATAGTGACACATGCACTGTTTTCCATGCCATGCAACAACCAAGCAACCGTCACTTTCCAGGTTTCTCAGACGCCGTGGCATCATCAGCAACTCAAGCCACAGTAAGTGAACCATCATCATCATCGCTATCAGTTGCAGAGAACACAGAAGCCAGCTCCTTTGAGATCACTACTACATCACCACCATTTATAGATTTTCTTGGAGTAGGAGCCACGGGAAGTGCTAGAGTTTCCAAAACCTGCAACATGTATTCGAGAAGCAATTCTGTTGCATATGATAGCACAGGTATCATTGAAGGCAAAGAGAAGTGACTGTAACTTTTGGACGGTCCAGAATGAGCTTTTGTCATCACCATGGCCTGCTCCTTTGTAATAAGTGACCATCATGATATATTTTGCAAATTTAAAGCAGTGAACAATCACTGTGTCTTTATAACTTCACAACGTCTCTCCTGCCCCATCTCCCGTTTCTAACAAATATTATAAATTGTGAATTTAGACCCTCCCACTCTTTAATGTCTGCGACTCCTTCAAATTCTTAAAGCTCCTTTTCCAACGCGGCAAAGAAGAGTGCAGAGAAATTGTACACTGGTTAATAAAGAGATGGGTACGAGGCTAACTTTTGATTGAAACAAGGCAGAAGCAACAGTTGTGGGGCTGGCAAATAACAAATCAAAAAACAGGGCGACATCGCCCCACCTTCATAATGTCCACTACAATCTTTGATTCAAAGAGACAAATGACCTGGACAGTTTCGAACTTCTGTAATTGAAGAAACCACTCCATGTAATGTATGTTGAACTTCTTCTCCACCCGTAGCGTAGCAAATTACAGTTCCATGTGTAACCACAACGCTTAACTGGCTGCCACCTTCCATAAACCAAGTCAACTAAGAGAAACAGAGTTAAATTCAAGCTCAAAACCTCCTAGCCTTCTATCAGTCTGAAGGACAATGGAAAAATTTGTTGCCAGGGACTAGCCAAAACGGAAAGACTTTGGCCTTCCTGAATCAGCAGTCAGGGTTATACAAGCAAAGCAGCATATTACCTCTGGAGTTCACAATTACAGGGTGCTTATAGAGAAGGTTCACTACAACAAATATGAAAAAAAAATAAAAACAATGTCAAAGGTATTTTGAACCTTCCTTCTCGGCTAAAAAATCGACTGCCCAGCATCTGTAAGAAATTTCACGTGTTTCTGAATAATCATAGAAAAAAATACTACAGTTTTGCTCTGAACATACAAGAGCAAGAATGCTGCTCCAATGTCGCAAGAGAGTAACACAAAAAAGTCATTTTTATGAACGTTTAATTTGGCAACCGGTATAAAGGTAGTTAGATGTCCTTGTCCAAATCCCTTGCTAATGAAATAGTATTCAGTGTAAGAAATCTAAGTGCTGTGAGCAATACTCTCAAGTGAAGATGCCAAAGCATCCTTGAGTTCCTGCTTCGTGAGAAGGCTAGTGGTGTGAACAAATCCTCCATCATGAACTGCACCAACTGTCTCAGAATTCACTGGTTGCAGTGAAAAATGGGTTTCAAGAGCCTTTGTGGTTTTCTCAACAAAAAGTGACCTCGGCAAATAATCCTTCATGCGACAAATGAATTCGCTGTGGTCTCTTGCCTGCACAGTGAAATGACAATATAGACTTCATTAACTGCTCTTCAAGTAATTATCATATCAAAAAGTAAATTTTCTGCACTCCGTATTCCAAAGTCCCAGTAGGTAAAACCGAAAAGGCACATGAAAAGAAAAACACAGATTCTGAAGTAATTTTTCTCTGTTCTCCTCTTATTATATCTGCTGCCACAACTACTGCGTGTTTATTCTATGGTTGCACATATATAAAATGCCATGGAATGCATCATGCACCAAAAGGATGAAGAAAGTTCATCAGTGGAAAACAAAATGCAAGATATCTAAGAACTGCAAAACCAATTGAAACTATTACATGAAAAATGACCAATCTGGTTCATCAAGTGCATGTCCAAAGATTATTAGTTTGTTATAGTTATGGCTAGCCATAACTTATCAAGGATACAATGATTTCACACTGATCTTTGAAATAATATAGCATCCCCTGAAAATATTTTTGTTTGTTTTAATGGTCATAGGATTTGCAATAGGAGAAAGACAATGATTGATTCACCAAGAAATAACCAATACAATTACAGCATGATTTTCAGGGTAAAATAATCTTATTGGCAGAACAGAGAGCTCAAGAAAGAAAGATGGTGGAGAAGGAAATAAAATACCGATCTATATTCAGGAGCCCGAGCCGGTAGCTTCAAGTAAGCCATGTTCTTGGCCTCATAATCCCATAAAAAGGAAGTATGGTGTATCCAACGATTTTTGGTTATCGATTGTGCGTTTCCACCAAATTTGTGATCACCAAAAACATAATCTGAAAACAAATAGTGTTTACGTGTAAGATGGATCATACTGTTACATAGGCATCATTTGCAGCCAGAAGTTTGCAGTGGTCTCCTGGCTTATAAGAGCAAAACTATAAACAATTTTTTCTTCAAAAAAACAAAAAACGAGAAACATTGACATGAAAGTTTAGATATCCATGATCAGGAACACCATGCATGTAACTGTCTAAAAAGTGTCACTTCCACCAATGTCCCACACATTATATTAACAGAGTGAAAATCCTTTTAATCCAAAGCTCATCTATGTAGTACCATTCTCACGGAGCTGGAAATCACCAATCCCTCGCAACACCTGACCATACAAAAGACCACTCCAAGACATGATGGAACGAGGATATGGTTGAACTCCAGGAACATCATCCTTGTTGCATATAAGAGTGACAAAAATAGTCCCATGGTCAACAATAACAGTTCCACCGCCAGTAAACCTTCTGATGACAGGAACCTCATCTCGTAAAACAAACCCAAGCTCAAGAAGTTCTGAAGCTTTCCTACGCAAAGCATTCACGTCTATCAGTATGCGTATCCCAAGAAAATGAAACAAGGATAGAAAGAAAAAAATCCAGGCATCTACAGATACTTGCTCATTTATTCAAATAACAAGTCAAAAATGGAAAATTTCATGAGACATGTCATTTTATTAATTGAAGAGCAACTAAGCACAACACTTTTAAGAAACTTTCTAAACAAACTCTAGATCACAATGCAGGTGAGAAGCATGTCCATGTGTGAGACTCACAACAAGTAAATCTGACTGTGGACCATCCAATCAGTCGCTCTTAAAGAAACTCTCCCTAATCTTTTATTTTATTTTATCATCATCATCATCATTTGGTTACGAAAGGAAGGACATAAACAGTGGAAAGCAATGACATTACACTTTCCCAGATTATGGCTGTCTAAACCGGCCATATGGTGGGAAAGGATTGGATGAACCACATTTATCTGAAATCTTCTATAAAACAAAGGATAACACCAAAGGAAAAAACCTTGAAACTGCTAATTTTACCAGCTCTCTACCAAAGGAAAAAACCACAGCTACGAAGAGTCTCGTTGAATCCATCGATAACTAAAGAGTACAAAAACTTAGTGGGGGTCGAAGCGCAAGCAGACTGGAGGATATCCCTTAGTGTCGAATAATAATAACGATAATAATAAAAAAAAGACTATTTAAAGAGTGGGTAAGCAATCTCTAACTAGGGCTAAGATTAGCCAAAATTCAGCTGAGATTCCAATTGACAACAACAAACTAATATAGATACCCCTATTCAGTCAGCAAAAAGAAAAGGAGATGGGAGTTAAGAAGTCTTTTACCCAGACAAGCCCATGACAATGGAAGGAGTATTAGTTCCATCGTTAACAATACACCAATTATCTGAAGAAGTACGAAGCAGCTTTTCCTCCAAAAAAAGTTGCTCTAAAATGGGCATTCCTTTGAATCTCACAACATTCATTAATGGCAACCCAAGTTTCCTTGCTTCATGCACTATTCCCATCTTGGTTAATGCGAAAAAAAAAGGACTGAAAAGGAAACAAGGGCCGGAAGTAAGCAAAAGATGTCTTGGTTTTACCTCAACAATCAATCTGCTGGTATGTCTTGGATCAGTGTCTTTTATGTCGGAGGTGGATGAAGATAAATACTTAGACTTGATTTTAGGGGGAGAAGAAGAAGGCGACTGATACGTCGTCTGGTGACACGTGGATATGGCTTGTTTTATCGGTCAAAAATATGAGCTTGGAAAGTTTGGGGCCCGGGTCCCGGTGCTGCCATGGAGAACTTGCCCGTAACGTTACTAAACCCAGCCAGGAATTTATTTTTCATTTAATCAAATCATTATAAAAGTACATATTTTCAATGAAGACAAAGAATAAAATTATGAGAGAAAAATATATTTTTCTCATTGAAATTTTTTTTTAGAATTGATTATCTAACTACATGAAAAAAAAGAAAAAAATAAAAATGAAAAATTATATGAAACATTTAGAATAAAAAAATTAAGAAAAAAATAATTTATTCTCATTCAATATTAATAAAAAAATTATTATAAAAGTTGTGCATATTTAGTCTATGCATAACAATAACAGTGGGATAGAATGCACATTCATGTTTATTTATTTATTTTTAGCTCCATGCGTCTAACGTGAAATTACTCTAATAAAGGAGAAGCAAAGCCATAGTTTGGCAATTACAAGTGCTTCGACCACCGCAATAATTTTGATGGCAGCCATACATGAACTAGATTGAAACAAGAAGAGATTTGTGATTCAATCCAAATTACGATGAGCGGTAGAGGTGCTGTGTGGTCTGCTTTGGAGACTCACCAAAGAATAATAAACTCCGGTCGTTCCTTTGGCCATCAAAGATGAATGAGTCCCCATCTCCACCTTCCCTTTATCTAAAACTGCAATGAGATCACAGCTCTGTATAGCACTCAACCTGTGAGCCACCACAACGCTCGTCCTTCCCGCCATTACATGCTCTATTGCTTCTTGCACTACCTTCTCTGACTGGCTATCGAGTGCGCTAGTGGCCTCATCTAACAGCAATATTGCTGGATTTTTCAGCATGGCACGGGCTATTGCGAGGCGCTGTTTCTGACCCCCTGATAGCTGCACTCCCCTGTCTCCGCACCATGTCTCATACCCATCTTTTAATCCAGATATGAAATCATGAGCATTGGCTGCCTTAGCTGCCTCGATGATCTCTGATTCGTTGATTTTGTCGGATGACGCGCCATAGATAATGTTTTCCTTTATGGTGCCAGCAAATAATGTAGGTTCTTGACTAACCAGAGCAATGCATTTCCTTAGTGACCTGAGGTTATATGACTTGATGTCTCTTCCATCTATTCTTACTGTGCCCTTGAGTGGATCATAATATCTTTCGATTAATCCTATGATGGTTGATTTTCCTGAACCACTTTGCCCCACCAAAGCTGTTGATTTCCCTGCTTCAATGTTGATTGAGAAATCTTTGAAGATCATCACATTAGGCCTGGCTGGGTATGCAAAATCCACATCTTGGAGTTCTACATGGCCCGTGATTTTTTCTGGCCGGTAACCATCAGGGTCTTCTGGTTCGATTTTTGTGCACCGATCCAGCACAGCGAAAACTGACCGAATAGAGTCTGAACCCTTGGCTAGGTCCATTGTCATGCTTCCAGCATCAGCTATGACACGTCCTGTGCTTACCAAGATCAAGAAGGTCTCAAACATGGCTTTGTAAGTCATGTAGCCTTGAGCAATGAGTTTGCCACCATACCAATAGTCCAGAGCCACAGTGCAGGACATTAGGCTTTGAGAAGTGCTAAGCCCAATACCTGCAAACAATGATTGCCGAATATTCTCTCTCCGTGGACCTTCCTGGACTTTCTCGAGCATTTTCAGGATTCGTTCTTGAGAGGAGAAAGCAGTGATGGTTCGGAAGTTGGAAACAGCATCTGCTGCGAGCTTGCTGCTTTCGTCTTGAGCTTTGATGGCTTTTCTGGACATGCTTTTTAGTAGAACACTCCGGGTATAGTAACAGGCGATTATGATAGGTTGGACTGCTATCATCACAATGGCAAGCCTCCAAGCAATGACCAAACCCATGGTCCATGCTATGGTTACCGCTGACATTGTCTGAACGACGAGAGAAATTCGGTCACCCACTACAGATCTCACCTGCACAGAACCAAAAGCATCAAGTCAACCACCCTGTGCAATGTTTCAGCTGCTATACATTGCGCCTTTAGAAAGACTAAAAGTTGCAGCTTGAATAATCCTACCAGCAATAATCGGCATATATATGACATCAAATCAGGAAGTAAAACATCTTGAGATGGAACAATTACTTAACATCTGAAGTGACCTAAACTAGCTAATCAATCATGGTGGACATCAAACAGGAAACAAGAGCCAAAAACACATACCGCATCTGCATCTGTGGTGAGTCTTGAGCAAATTGCACCACTAGAATTCTCATCTCGATCAAACCACCCAACCTCAAATGTGAGAATCTTCGAAAGCATCCTCTCTCTAATCCTCTTTGTCAAATGCTCACCCATGTATGCAAAATTATAATGTTGAATTACATTGATGATCAATGAGAAGAACGTCAACCCCAAAAAGAAAAGAGAGTAAATCTTTATCTTCTCCTTAATCTCATTGTGATCTTTCAAAAAGAATACGGATATCATTGACCCCAACACAAATGCATATACTGGTTGAACCCCACCAAATAAAATTGCTCCTAAACATCCAAAGCTCGCCTGTTTCCATTCCGGTAGGTTCAATGCCAACAATCTTAGAAATGATGGTGCCGAGAAGTTTTGCCCTTCCGTCGCTGCATTTTCTTCAGCACTGATTGAAACTTTACTTGGTGCTACTGAATTGGCAGAACGTGATAATCTTCGACTACTAGTATCACTACTAGTTCTATTAGTTTTCAGAACTGGGATAGCTGATGAGGACACTGAAGTTGTAGTGGCATTTTCACAAGGTTTTTCGGTTTGTGTTTGTTGGAGACGAACTAGGGATGCGTACATGCCATTCTCGTTTTCAATTAATTCATTGTGAGACCCGATTTCCGTCACCCGACCGTCTTGGACGACAGCAATGACATCCACATTACGAATGGTGGAGAGCCGGTGAGCAATTATGATTGTGGTTCTCCCCACAGCTGCTCTGTCTAGGGCTTCTTGGACAATACGCTCGGATTCTGTGTCTAATGCACTTGTAGCCTCGTCGAGGAGGAGGATTCTAGGTGATTTGATTACAGCTCGTGCAATAGCAATTCTTTGCTTTTGCCCTCCTGACAATTGAACACCTCTCTCACCAACCTGTTATTGGTACAAAGTGTGGTTTAGCACATGATTCCTTCCATAGGGTAAGTAATGCTTTGTATCCGAGGAAAAATAAAGTAATGATCCATTACTGAGTAGTGTGCATGTGATTTGTCATTGGAGATAATGCAAATTGGTGATTGGATTCAACCGTCCAAGATTTAACTTGCATTTCCTTGAGCATGAAACTATTTCTATATATTTTCCAGTTTCCAGCATCAAATAAATTTAGCTGATCAACATGATCCAACTAACCTGAGTAGAATACCCTTGGGGGAACTGGGAAATGAAATTATGAGCATTAGAAGCTTTGGCAGCTTCAACAACCTCGTCCATTGTAGCAGTTTCTTTGCCGAAAAGTATGTTCTCCTTGATTGTTGTAGCAAATAGTGCAGGCTCCTGGCTCACCAAGCCTATCTGTGACCTTAGCCACTTGAGTTGCAATTTATCAATTGCAATTCCATCAAGAAGTATCTCTCCACCTAATGGGTCATAAAATCTTTTTAATAATGCTATTGCTGTCGATTTTCCTGACCCACTACCACCAACCAAGGCCACACTTTTGCCTGCTGGGATTTGTAGGCAAAAATCTTCGAAGATAATGCTTTCTGGCCTTGAAGGGTATGCAAATTTGACCTGTCTGAATTCAACTTCCCCACTACAATTATCCAAAATCTCACCTTCCATGTTTTCTAGGTCTATTTTGGGGACTCTTCTTATCACTTCCATAATACGTTCTCCAGCAGAACATGCATCTGCGAAGTACTTCATGTTGGATATACCAGCTCCAAATGCTCTGATAATCAACATAAAAAACAACAGTCAATCACAATAACAAAAAGGAATCATTAATTCAAACTAATCCGAAAGTAAAGCAAAAATCACTCCCTCTATTCCGAGTTAACTGTCCTCCTTCATTTTCTGGCTCTCCGGCCCTAAACAATTTTATCCGCTTCTTAAAAAGAAATCTTTCCTGCTCTCAAGTTTTTCCATTTTTTTCAGATATTTAAGTTGTTATTGGTCCTAATTCCTCCTAATCTTCTAAGAGAGAAAAAAATAATAATGTTCTTAGAACCCACTTTCCACTAGAAGCAGCGAGACGTCTGCAGATCAAGATGCTGACGTTTAATTTCTGACAGAGGAAGTAGCAAGGAAATGAGAGAACTAAGTAGTCCAGTTTATAATACAGTAGCTTAAGAAACCAAATGCAAAGGATCTAGATTTTGGTTCTTATTATTATGATGACAAAAGAGATACTAATACAACTCATAGCAGTGGAAACATAGAAGATACTTACAGGCCACCCACCACAACACATGCGCCAGCATTGAACACAGTCCCTCCTCGACAACCATGGTACATGACCATTCTGCTACCATAGTAAGACATGAAGGACCAAACAGCGAAAATAACAGCATTGCTGCCAACAGCTAACCCCTTAGCCATGCCCTGCCTCAACCCCAACTTCAATGGCAATTGCAGAGCTGCAGAATAAGCAGTTATGGCTTTGGTTTCGCCAACAAAGGCATAGATTGTCCTCGTTGAAGATATAGCCTGCTCAGCTATTGTTTCTGCCTTGCTATACTCTCGTTTCATCTTTCTTGATATTCCCATCAGAATCTTTCCATACATCAGACCAGGAATTACCAAAAGCAGTATAAATGGAAACGTTACAATTGTTAGTCTCCATAGCAATATAAACGCCAATAGATAGCATCCAATAAATGTGGAAACATTCATTAAGAAGTTTGGCACCTGCAGAATCAAATTTATTAATATTAAATA